GAATGCTGGCCCCACTCTCCTGTTTTTTCCCCTCTTTAGACCCATCTATAAATATTTAGCAATGTTTGCCCCATGTATCATTATATAGAGAGAGATTTGCTAAATGTAATACATTTAGCTCTCCTTTTAATTTCATTATATAGTTCCACATTTATTTCAGGGGTATGATTTTACATCCAGATAGCCATGGAAAATGCATTATTTGCCAATTTCTTTTAGCTCTTTCCTTTCTCTTAGTTCCTTTGTCTATACTTTAATCCTATTCACATGAAGTATTTTGGGGTCGCTCACCCCATGTTGTCCACTGAATTCCCAGGATTCTTCATATATTTGTCTAGTGTTTCTATCTTCTCTGTGACCTTTGGGTAAAAGATGAAGTCCACTAACTTCATTCTTTACACAACAGGCATTTCACCAACTCCTATCTGCCATATACACACAAATGTTGTGATGAGGCAATGCCTGGATTGAGTCTAGCTTCCTCAGGTTCATTTTTGATGCTGAACTAAACATATGGCATCCATACTCAATGTTTGGTCTTATTGATGCTCTAAAGCATAACCATTTCTGTCTTATCAGTACCCCAGGTGATTCCAGAAACATTGTTAAGTAGACCGAGTTTACTATTACTTTTATCTACAATATTTTCAGTGTGATCCTTCCATGTTAGTTCATTATCAAATGAAACACAGAGGAATTTGTAGCTTTTAACGATACCTATTTGCTGTCCAGTCTATGAGTCTATGAGTTTCCAATCTTCTTTAATTTTCCTTTTACTGAATATCATTCCTTTAGTTTTGCTTATTGAAAATGTAAATACCCTCCTGTTTCCCCATTCAGCACTTTTCCTAAGTGCTTAATTAATTCACTTTTCAGTTATTTCCTGGTTTCCGTTTTTAGTCCCTTCGGCACAGTCATCTGCAAACAAGGAAAAGCCTACTTCTGCACTCATCCTTTTTTGGGAAATCATTTATCATTACACTGAATAAAGTAGGGCTGATGGCACTCTGCAGGGGAGTGCCATTTGTGAATGTGTATATGCTAGAGGCGGATTTCCCTACTCTGACTGCATAGTTCTTTTACTTAAGAAATCCTTTATCCACCTGTATACAGCCCTCAGCTGATGGGCTCTCTTTCTTTTAAGTCCCACATCCTGCACAGGTGGAGTGGGGCACGGCTAATTTAATTTAGTGCTGGCTGGCCGAATGTCTCCTGCCCTTAAAGTTGCAGTCCACGCCATTGCAGGCTCACAGTTCTGATTAGGGCCTCTGAGTGTCACCATACAAGGATTATTATTATAGTGTTGCCATCCTTCGTTATTATCTGGAGAGTCTCGTATTTAGTAGTTTTCTTATAGCCCAAGGTCCTGGAGCCCAATGGATTATGTGAGCAGTTATGTTTTCATTTTTAAACAAAAATGGTTCTATGGCTGCGGAGAAAAGCCAATGTCAGTAGCAGATGTAGAGGTGTCAGGGCAGGGGTATTTATATCCTGTGGGAATTCCAATATTTTAAAATCATGTAATTAGTCATAAAATGAAATATTTGATAGATTTCACTAACCTTATGTAAATATTTCAGGTTGATAAAGTCAAAACAAAATGTTTCAACTTTATCGTTTTGAATCTTATAAATTATAACAACATAAAATGTGTCAAGCTTATCAAAACAAAACATTTCCATGATTTCCCATTGAAAGTTTGGACAAAAATCAATATATTTCCATGAAATGTTTAGCTTTTGTCCAATCAGCATTTTCTGACAGAAAAATGTTCCATGGGACATTTTTTGACTAGCTCTAGGCAGTATTTCTATTCCAAATTGAATAGATTTTGACAAAGAATTTTTGAACTCTTGTGCTGTGGCTATGTTGGAAACCAAGAATGATTTCTTGTCCATCATAGCATCCATGAAGTCTTGATCAGCAGAACAGTACTAAGTGGTAAACAGCCTGATGAATCTTCACTTGGTTACAGAGACAAAATGTTTATCAGCAAGAGATTTCTGTACACCTTGCAAACAAGATAACCTGCACTAGGAATGATTTGTTGGCCTCTGCGGTGGTAGAGCTACACTTCGGGTGGACAAATGTAAAGGAAGACTGAGAAAGTTATTCTGACGATCCCGAGAGTCAATGAATTTCCTTTCAAACTAGTTTTATACTAGTACATGGCAGGGAGACTGCACTTCTATCTAATACACACACACACGGGATGTAGGTCAAACGCCCATACTGTTTCACTTAGATCTACCAGCTCCCTTTGATATCATTGACAGGGAGAGTTGCTGTTAATGCGCCTGTGGCCCCTGGCAGATACACAGTACTGCTTGAGTCACTCTGTACTATTCTTTCCAATAGGAAGTATTAAGTGATTATGAACTGCAAGGGCTCTCTCATGTGGGGATCTTGCTGCATTTTCAGGTGCTAATGGAAGTCCACATTGCATCACTGGCAAAGAATGTTCTACTATTAGTGCTTAGTGTGAAAATTGTAGTATTGTCTTTTGAAAGCAGACCTTGCCAAAGTCAACCATGCCTTGGCCCCCTCTTGATCAAATAATTGGAAGGTACTTTACTTGGGTTGACATATGAAGACCACTTGGAAACTTCAGAGTGTACTGAATGGAAGTGGTGTAGTTACTTACTGATGGTTCTCACATGGATCATTATATACTGTATAGAATGCATGGGATCCAGCACATTTCAGGTTGTTGATCCATAAGGCCCTCTATGGTTTGAGCCCTGGGTAGTTAGGAGATGCCTCTCCCTTTGTGCCTTATCTAGACAGCTGGGAAATTCAAGCTGATGGTCTCTAGATCTGTATGTGGAAGTTGGGGACAGATTGGAGCTCCTGCTCTAGAATTCTCTTCTCTCCTCCCCCCACAATTTGTCCTGTTGAGCTTCAAGGCATGCTGCAAGCCCAATAAATTAATCCATGCTATATGGGGAAGAATAGCAAAGCTGTTTGAGGTTTTTGTACAGTAGAGGTGTTATTTGTGTTAGTTAACATTGGTTTAGTTAGTGAAATATCAATACCAGACATCTACTTCTCTCTCCTTCATACCACCTATTACTCCCCTCCTTGGAGTCTAAAATCCATTGCTCCTGAAAAACAGCCAATTTTGCAGGCCAGAAATAACTACTGCACTGAGGAAAGATGAAACAGACCTTAAAAATACTCCTCATCATATGCCAATGTTTATATAACACATTTCATGCTGAAATAAAAACAACCAGGGTATGTCTTTGTACTTTATAGAATTTTTAGAGCAGCAAGATTAAAAACTCCATGAACAACAGTGAGAAAGATTTGCCAGGACTTTGGGGGTCACAAGATTAGGATTTTCTAAAAACAACTCAATCATAACCTCTCTGGCTACAGTCCAACTGCCATTTTTTAAAAAAAGGATGACAATTTGCTAACATCAGTTTCAATCTAAAATGACCATATTATATCCCATTTATCAAACCTGTAGAGTCTCTAGAAACCCCCTTGGGAGCTGCCACCCAATGTGCCAAGACTACCCCTGCTTCTGTTTTCCCTGCCAGCTCAGGACTCCAGCACCCCGTCTTGCTGAGTCAGACACTCCTGTCTGACTCCAACACAGACCCAGGGTCTGAATCACTTGTCCCAAAACTGCAAGTTTACCCAAAAACAGCTCACAGGAGTGTGCTTGTCTTTAGCACTCAGATGCCCAACTTCCAATGGGGTCTAAACCCAAATAAATCCGTTTTACCCTGCATAAAGCTTATGCAGAGTAAACTCATAAATTGTTCGCCCTCTATAACACTGATAGAGAGATATGCACAGCTGTTTGCTCCCCCAGGTATTAATACATACTCTGAGTAAATTACTAAATAAAAAGTGATTTTATTAAATACAGACAGTAGGATTTAAGTGGTTCAAAGTAGTAACAGACAGAACAAAGTAAGTCACAAGCAAAATAAAATAAAATGCGCAAATCTATGCCTAATCAAACTAAATACAGATAATCTCACCCTCAGAGATGCTTCAGTAAGTTTTTCTCAGACTGGACACCTTCCAGGCCTGGGCACAATTCTTTCCCCTGGTACAGCTTTTGTTCCAGTTTAGGTGTTATCTAGGGGATTCTCCATGATGGCTCCTCTCCCTCTCTCTTCTGTTCCACTCCTTTATATATCTTTTGCATAAGGCGGGAACCCTTTGTCTCTCTGGGTTTCCACCCCCCCTCACTGGAAAAGCACCAGGTTAAAGATGGATTCCAGTTCAGGTGACATGATCACATGTCACTGCAAGACTTCATTACTCACTTGCCAGCACACACATATACAGGAAGACTCACAGGTAAACAGCCATCTGCAGACAATGGGAGTCATCAAGATTCCAAACCATCATTAATGGCCCACACTTTACATAATTACAATAGGCCCTCAGAGTTATGTTTTATATTTCTAGTTTTAGATACAAGAGTGGTACATTTCTACAAATAGGATGATCACACTCAGTAGATTATGAGCTTTGTAATGATACCTTACAAGAGACCTTTTGCATGAAGCATATCCCAATTACCTTACATTCACTTATATTTTATAAAACCATATAGATTGCACAACGTCACACATAACCTCTCTGGCTACAGTCCAACTGCCATTTTTTAAAAAAAGGATGACAATTTGCTAACATCAGTTTCAATCTAAAATGACCATATTATATCCCATTTATCAAACCTGTAGAGTCTCTAATTTGTCAAAGAGCTTCCCCTTTTTAAAGTGGGTGATCTTTTTGAATTTCTTGCCTTTGTCAGGAGCTCTCCTTCCTAAATAAGCACCAAAGTGTCACCTTGACAAACCCATGAACAGCAAAATCATTCATAATATTCTCCACTTCTCTCAAGAATACAGTCTAGGTCATGCATCTGTAGGAGCTTTAATTATCCCACATAGACCAGACAGTGCTTAGTGATGCTCAGACTTTAGTAACCTGTCAGCTATAAATACAAAATCTGATAAATGTACACTTACCAATTTCCCTCGAGATCTGAGTAAATGCTTCTACACCACTCTCTCCATAGTTTCCCTCTGAAGCCAGTGTTGACACGTAGTTCCATCCAAGTGCTGTCACAATATCGACCATGGCTTGGGCTTGATATGAGTCAGGTGGAACCACTCGAGAGAAAAAGTCATACCTGGTGTTATCACTTAATTCTGGAGCTGTAGATGCATAGCTGATTTGAGGTATCTGCAAACAAAATGACAAGTAATTCAAGCCAATCTAAAATAATTTTCAGTTTAAAACAGATTATGCACAGGAGCAGCACAGAACTGAATAGCTTGTCATAATTAAAGCAACTAATCAGAAACCATTTCAGATATTGTAAAATGTCAGTTAAGTTTCATTGCATAATTCCCCCCCGCCCAGTGAATAATGAATTCTGCTATTCCCCAGATGTCATGAGTCATGACTCCTGATGACATAGCAGAACACCACTTTCCCCCATTCCAGCCATATTAAGAACTGATGCAAAAATGAAGGAAGAAAGAGAACTTGTACAATTGACAAATCAAGAAAAAAGGTCACATCTTTGAGGAGCTTAATGTTTAAATGTTAAATGTCTTCCAACTATAAAAGTAAGATTTTTTTTCCCTATTTCATAAGGTTTGTCTCTTTCATGTTTTGTTTTGATTTTTCATGATTTAACACGACATCATTCATAGCATCACACAAGAATACAAAGCCTAAGTAATTGGGTTATGCAGGAAGATCTTAAAAAAAAAAAGATATTAGCTGTATACCTATATAGGAAAAATTAGCGCCTTAGTGACTTTATACAGCCTGTCATCACAATTATTTTGCATGCAAAGAGCAGAAGAGATTTTAAATAACTGCAAAGAAATATGGTTATGCTATTTCTGAGGACTAGTTAAAATATTTAAAGAAACATCTACATTGTGTTTATGCATCTAGAAAAGCCTCAAAATAGGTAACCTGATAGGGTTCAGTCATAACTTTGCTTTCTGAAATAAGTAAAGTTTGGGGAGGTTAAAAAGTTATTGTCTAGAGGTAATGTTTATTGTCAATTCTTTTGCAAAAATATTTAATTATAATTTTTTCACCAAAGAATGTTTTTGATATTTTATAATGAGTATGATTTGAAAACAGTGGTGATGGGATACACTTGAAATATTCACCAACTAGTCATGAAAGGTACCAGAAAATACTTTGAGTGGGAATGTGGAATACCAGCTAATTACCCCAAAATTATTGTCTGAGGTCCAATGAAATATTGTGTCATTAGCACAAGAAGGAAGGATGATTTTGTGATTAAGGCAAAAGGAATGGTATTTAGGAAATCTGGTTTCTTATCCCAGCACTGTCAGAGACTTTATGTGACTTTGAGCAAGTTACTAAATCGCTTCTTACTTAAGTTAGTGGGCCCTTCCCTCTGCTGCTATTAAGGTCTAGTCTAAAAGGCAGGTTACTAGTTTCAGCTGGCTGAGGGTGCCAAAGCCATTTAGAAGATGGGCAGAAGGACAAAATAATCTCAAAAATGTAAAATACAGGTGATCTCTCAAAGAAAATGCTATTATCAACAAAGCAAAGCTACATCAACTGAAAGGAAATATAAATTCCTTCATGGGATGTTCTGAAACATTTCTAGCACTTTAAAAAGCAATAGGGAGATATTGGCTTGTAAACATGTTATAACATTTAATGTTCCCCTTAATATTTGCCATTTTGCTCTGTGAAAAGTTACATTTATTCATGGGGGAGGGGAGAGAGGAAATACAGCTTTAATCATTGGTTTTCTCATGTTGGCTCTCAGAATGCCACCTTGCAAATCTTCAGGGGAAGCTTCTTCATTGAACAGTTACTCAGTGGTCCTCATCATAGTACCAAGCTCAGTAACCGCTGGTAATTTTAACCTAGTGATGGCTTTGTTGTTACAAATCCTAGGAGTAGGACCCATACTACTTATAGCTATTCATTTCCTCAGTTCTGGTTTCCCTGCTGATATAAGGCAAGTGTCAAATCCTAGTGACATGTTTGTTTAGGAGCTGATGGTGTCATACAGTGACATGACGTTTCAGCCAGACAACGGAGGTATGTTTTGTGCATCCCTGATTGAGCCACTGGGAAAAACCAGAATGAACCACCATTTTCCAACACCTAATAGAGTTTATTTTAGGGAAAGGGGGCTAGACTAAGAAAATAATGAGACTGTAGCAAAAACATACATGAATAATGAACTGAAATGAATATACTTTGGCCATGAAGAACCTGAACCAATATTTGCTGAAGTCAACAGAAGTCTTTCCATGGATTTCAATGAGCATTGAAATGGGCCCCGTGCTCTTTGTCTGACACAGAAGTGTACAGTGCAATGTTGCACCAACAGAAATACTTACTGAGCTTGATTCTCCACTGCCTTACATCATGTATACCCATTTACAGTAGTGCAAAGCGGGTGCAAAATGCCACTATTTTGATTTGGCAGCGTTTTACTGCCAACTTTACACAGATGTAAGTAACTATGACAGCTCAAAGGCAGGGGAGAACTAGGCCCACTCTAGCCACTTAGCCATGAGACAAAAAACAGCCCAGAAGTCAAGAACACTTAAATAAAACACTCTTATAACTCTTTTCCTTAATCGTTAGAGGTCTCCCCGGTTTCTTTTTCTATTAACCTCTCAGGACGGAGCCCCTGAAGAAAGCTCTGATTCAATTTTCCTGTCCCCAAATGTTCGTAATCTCTATCCAGGAGTACATTGTAAATTTTCCTTAATAAAAGTCTATTTTGATATTCTGAAGTTACCAGGATGAAAGAATTAAATGTGTAGCTTCACACTCTTATTTTCAGAAGGAAACAAACTCTTTGTTTCTTGTAACCTGAACTTTTGTATGCAGGAAATCCATGAATGTGGGCTAGTCACTCAGGTGCTTTCAAATACAGAATTAAGAGGTCTGAGGTTTGGGGGATGTTAAAAGAGGGGGGGAAAGTAGCTAAAGAGAGACACACTAACTCTTTTTCAACAAAATTCAAAAGAATGTTTGGCATGCAGGCAAGTTGTTAGAAGGCACTGGATCAATAAACCATGAACTAAGAATTTATACTTTAACTGTAACAACTCTGGTTACGGACTGTAGATTTAATAAACCATATTTTACATATCCCTAAGAACATTTTTACATGACAGAGCACAATGCTTCCTATGCAAAGGAGCGGTTATAGTCTATCAATTCAGTAATATGTATTTTCAAAACTCCCTAAATATGGTCTGTATCTACACTATAGATCCTACTGGTAACTGGGGTAAAAATCCCCTATGGGGATTTTTTCTTATATTTATCCTTTAAAATTAAACACAAATACATATAACAATATCCACATTGTATTCATACAACATGCAGTCCTGATAATTGTGCGGCAGTAGTTTGTATAACAACCCTACAGTTGGTTTCAACACAGTTATGCAGTCATTTATTCATTTTTTATTCTCAAAAAGCAAAGTAAAAAACAAACTGCCAAAAGCTACACTTTTTAACATGAGGATTCATGCTCCCATCCTAATTGATGGGATACTCCCTCCCCCCGCCCAACATCTGCCTGCCCCATCCCGATTTACAGTGAGTCAGATTCTGCCACTTTTACTTGGGGAATGGGGTAATTCAATGTGCATAATGGTGACAGAACTGAGCCCTCTGAAAGAAGGAGACACACATGGGGGAGCCTTACTATAGAATTTGTTAGTTTGGGCTGATTTATGCAACAGCCTTAAAGTTATTAACTATATATATTTCTATGTTCATTCCTTAGTACTTTGTCACTTAAAGCTATAGTGTACCATTTTGAAAGACCCACAGGTTTTAGTATGTATGGTCTTAGGTCTTGATCCTGCAATATGCTGACCTACTCCTCCTGGAAATACCAGACACCCTCACATCAGCATGGGCAGGACAACATAAGTGCCTCAGGCAGCTATCAGAGATACCAGTGAAAGGTCTTATCCCATTAGACAAAGAAGACACGTGAAAAAAGAAGCCTCTTAGTGCCAGGAGCATAAGACTAGCACCTTTTATTCATTTTCAGGCAAGTGGTGATCCATGTCTAGTGTCCTCCATAGAAGGAAGATTCACCACTTTCTGATCCAGGGACCACTGAATAGGGAATGTTACTAATGGGTTTATTCTGGTGTTCCCAACATAGGGTCCAGACTAACCTAAGGGAGGCCCAGGACAGAGAAGAACAGTAGGGAAAACTGCATGACCCTTAATTCTGTACTTTTCCAATGCAAGTGTCCAATGGACACGTTGCTCCTAAAAGTCCTTCCCTTCTGCACCTGTTCAGTTCAAATCTTGGACAAACGTTCAATGGGTTCTTGCCCACTAGATTTGTCAATTTAAAATATTAGCCAAAGGTTTCATATGAAATCTCTCTATATCCTTTCAGGTAAAGACAGATGACTTGGGAGCAGCAGTTTACCAGATATAAGGAAGTGAGTTGAGATAGAATGATCCTATAAACAGGCAGCCAAGAATCTTGAAAGTTGTTGATGAGGAGTTACACTGACATAGCTATAATAGTCACTGATGTAGCTGACTTCCATCCTGTCCCCAGTATATCAGCAATGACACTTTAAAAAAATAGTTGTTATAGCTAACGTTGGCAACAGTTCAATTTCAACTGGCATTTTGCCACCTACTAATAAACAAAACAATTTTGCTAAGGAGTATAAATGCTTAGAAAGAAGTTTGCATAGTCAAACATTTTCATATTGGTGATTTCTCATGTTTTATGTCTATCATTAATCATTAAAAGCCTTGTCTTTTCAAAATTATCACCACCTCTTCTGTATAGAAGAGCTTTGTGAGCACAAAAGCCTCACTGAAGTGAAATAGATCCTTAGGGCCTAGATATTGAACACTTGCTGGATGACAGCCGAGGTCACTGTCTTCCAGCTATTAGTCACATCTGCAAATTGCCATCCGTCAGATCATCATCTTAGTCTCCCTTCACTGAATAAAAGCTTCCATGGTATGGATAATCAAGACTCAAGTGTTTGATCTGCGCTAATACCATCTCATGCTGTGATCAAATAAGGTAAGCAGGGTTGTGTGTTGTTTTACTACTTTGATCAGAGATCTCAAATCAACATTTTGGAGATGCAGTAAGTTTTACTAGGGATTCAGTAGGGGACATTCTTCCCAATCAGACAGTAGTAAACCAGTCTCCCTGCGCA